GGGGTAGCCCTGAAAGATTCCTCCCTGCAGAAGCTGGGCTTTGGCCCTCCAGTTGCTGTGTGATCTTGTGCAAGTCATTTTCTTTGGAGCACCACCATGTCCCAGTGGTGCAATGAGTAGCAGAGCCTTTGCAGGATTTCTTTGTCACCCCAATCAGCTAGCACCTGTGTAAGCCCCAGAACTTAATGAATAAATGTCCCCCCACCTCCCTCCCTGTGTTTCTCGTTCCCTAGTGGAGCCCATCCTCCTCCCTCTGTGACCTGTGACCCTTCCTCCTCCTCCCCTCAATTCCTTCTCAGCAGGGGCTGTGAGTCCCTTCCCCCCAAGAGGCCCAGGGGGCCCAGAGAAATTAGACCGAATCAAAGCAGAAAATGAGTTTTCATTCATCTTGGAATGATGCGAGAGGTTACGGGCAAGACAAATAGCAGCCTCCCCCTCTTCCTTTATCACTGTCACTGCAATTAATAGGCTGTGGCCTTCGTTATCCAGGCCTTTGCTAAGGAGAGCGCAGGCCCCCGGGCGACGCTAACGAGGGAGAGAGAGGAAGCAAGCCTGGCTCCAACCAAGTTCTGTTATGCGGCCATATGCTTACCTGGCCCTTCCAATACACTCTTGGGGAGCGGGTGAGCATAGGAGGGGTGCAGTGGCACGTGGGGCCAAGCCGCTGTGGCTTGGGTGAGAGGGGAAGGACAGTCCCCTGACACCCCTGAGAGGCCCCAGGCAGTCTGTGCTTTGATGTTCATTATATGGCATAGTGTGCCTAGCGTGTTTGCAGAGGCGCAGTGACAAGGTATGTGTTGGTTCCTCTCCCTACAGCTAACTATGGTCTAGCCCTCTGTTCTCCAGTTTTCCTGATGAGGAAGCTGAGATTCAGAGTATTGCTACTTGTCTGAGGTCACATAGACTTCGAAGAGAAGCTAGGATTTGAACACAGGTCTACTTGAAGCCAAAGCTTGGATTCTTCCCTGTGACATTCTATAGACCAACTGTATGAAGAGAGCCATAACTGGGAGACAGGTCCCTGAAAGGCTCTGATCCCTGAATTTGGGTATAAAAAGAGCTTAGAAATGAACTAGGTCAGGACCAGCAGTTAGCGTAATGGCTGTGTTGCTGGACTCCCATGTAGTCAACCGCGGTTCGCGTCCCGGACCTGGTGGCTTGAGACTTATGCCGGGTGTGTGTGCGTGAGTGCCCAAGATCCTGAGAGGAGAACGGAGGAGAAGGGATTGTGGCGTGGCCATCCCCCCTGGGGAGTGATTTCTTACTTTCTGCCTCTCTGTCTCTCTCTGTCTGTCTGGCAAGCGCACACGCCCTATGGCAAAAATCTCAAAAAAAAAACCAAAGAAACAAACAAAAAAATGAACCAGGTCAGGGCCAGCTGGTGGCATGGTTGTTAAGGCAGCTAGATCTCACTGTGTGATTCGAGTCCCAGACCTGGCAGTTTTGAAAGGCATGTTAAGTATGTACGTGTGCACCTCCAAAATCCCCAGAGGAGGATGGAGGAGAAGGGATTGCAACATGGCTGTCTCCTCTATGGGGTGATTTTTCACTTTCCCTCCCTCTCTCTGTTGAGCAAAACCAGAAAAAGAAAGAAATGAACTGAGTGCTCCCCGCCATACCCCAACCTGAGGCCTCAGACTCTGGAGGGACCTTGAAGTCATTGCTAGTCCTTGGCTTAAACCAAGACTTTGTCATTCACCAAAACGAAAGCCTTTTTTGCAAGTGCAAGTAGATACTATTAAGATTATTTTAAAAATTAATTCCTTTAAGGGGTTACTGAATGTCTAAGAGGTTTGATTCACTGAGTATTTGCTCAATCAATAAATACTGTATTACTTATCTATTACTGTGAATGAATTACCCCCAAAACTTAGTAGCTTAAAACAACAATAAAAATTTATTATCTCTCACAGCGTTTGTGTGTCAGGAATTCAGGAGTGCCTTGGCTGGGTAGTTCTGGCTTAGGGCCTCTCTTCTTCTTTTTTTTTTTTTTTTTTATGGCCTCTCTTCTTTTATTTTTTTTATTTTATTTTTTTTTTATGGAGAGGTTGTTTACTACAGGGTGTGTGCACTCTCCAGAAAGACAGAGAGAAACAGAGAGACAGAAAGCAAGAAATCGCCCCCAAGGGGGGATGGCCATGCCACAATCCCTTCTCCTCCATTCTCCTCTTGGGATCTTGGGCACGGACGCACACATGCCCAGCATGAGTTAAAGTCACCGGATCTGGGACTAGAACCGTGGTTGACTACATGGGAGTCCAGCCATATAGCCATTATGCCATTTGCTAGTCCCAGGGCCTCTCATGAAGTTAGTCATATGTTACCTAGGGCCGCAGCCCTCTTAAGACTTGACTGGGGCTGGAAGAGGCTCTGTGATGGTGCACTGAAACGGCTGGCATGTTGGTGCTGGCTGTTGGCAGAAGGCCTCTGTTCCTCTTCATGTGGAGCTCCCCATAGGGTGGCTTCCACATGGTGCCCCAGAGCTAGGAATTTGCAAGAGTCAAGCAGAGGCCAGGTGCCTTTATGAGTTAGCTTTGGAAGCCAAACGTGTCATCTCTGCCATACTCTGGGTCACAAAGATCACCCTGATTCACTATGGGAGTGGACTGCACAGCGCCCCGGCTCCTCCCTCTCTCTGGGCTTCTGAACCATCACAAGGGCATGAATACTAGCAGGTGAGCATTCGAAGCCATCTTGGAGGCTGGCTAAAATCAAAAGAGCATTTTGCAGAGCTTCAAAAGGGATCCCTGGGCCATCAGGTGACATGTTGGGTAAGGTGCTGAATTGCCCATGGCCAAATCTGTGGTTCAAGTCCCAGAGCCAGTAGCTTGAAAAACACACCAGGTGTGTCTGTGTGCATGCCCCAAATCCCGAGAAGAAAATGGAGGAGAAGGAATTGAGACATGGCTACCCCACCCCACCACCCACCATGGGTGATTTCTCACTAACCATCTCTGTCTCTCTCTGGTGAGTAAACGTACCCTATAGCAAAAATCTAAAAAAAAAAAAGTATGTGTGTGGGGTACCCTCAAGATCTAAAACAACAGGCAAAACTTTATTTACAGTATTAAAGAATAGAATAATCTTTACCTTCAGGAGAGAGAGAGGCTGGGCAGAGCCCCAGGGGGAGGTCTTACGGAGAGCTGGTACTGTTTTATTTCTTGATTAGGATGCTAGCGATAGGAATGAGTTTACTTAGGGCACAACCACTGAGGGTGATACATGTACTTTTTGTGTGTATACGAAGCTTCAGTACAAAATATGTAAAGGTCCTCATCTTTGAAAAGTTTTGAAGCCATTTGTGTACTTTGTTTTTTCGTCTTATAGGAGAGAAAACACTGAACCTCTAAAAGAAATGATGACTTGCTCGAGGTTGTGGGGATCACAGTGGAGTCTTGGACTGGCATTCAGATCTCCTGGATCATAGGGAATGGCTCCTGGCAGTTACGTGGACCCACGGCATCACAAGAGGTTGATGGCATCAGAGGTGGGGGGCTGGGAGGCTCCACTTCTGGTACTTGGGTGGTAGCCTGTCCTACTGAAGAGCAATCCCAGCTCCCCTGGTTGCTCCAGAACGGAAGAGGCTGTGCTAGCTCTGCCAGGTCAGCCATTGTGTCTCCAGCTCCCAAAACCCTCTCTGCTGACCAAATTTGAGGCCATCTCTGCCCACAGATGGCCTGGATGTTCACAGAAAGTGATTGTCTTGGGCGAGGGCAATGTCCGGACAGGCAAAGAGCAAGTGTTTGAGGCTGGGAGGGTTGCTCTTTGTCTGTAGACAAGGCTGTTAGGACATGCCTCTCAGATGAGGGTGTCCATCGCCTTTGACTGGACTTGGAGATCTCTCAGGGCAGGGGCCCAGCCTGATTCAGTTCTGTGTCTCTTGTATCCATTTATCCATCCAGCAACTATTTACTGGGCACCTGTTATAGCCACTGGAAACATGATCACGGATGGAAAAGACAAAATTCCTGCCCTCAGGAAGCTATGCTTTCATCAGTGTGGCCACGGTAGACAGTAGAGAGGCACAGAGGACTGTGAGTATTTGTGTGGAGAAGGCCTTATTGAGCAGATGGCATTTGAGCAAAGACTTGAAGGAGGTGAGAAGGTGGGCCTAACGTCATCGGCAGGAAGACCACTGCAGGCAGAGGGAACAGCATGCTGGAGGTGAGAACATGCTGGAGGTGATGTGCTAGGAATTGCAGGGCGTACAGGAAGGCTGGAGTGGGCAGGGCCGGGGGAGACAATATAGGGCGATGAATTTCCCCATGCCATCAGACCTGGGCTTGAACCTTGGTCCTGCTGGTCCCTAACTGGGTGACCAAGGGCTCTAAGTCACACAGGATACTCACAGGTCCTTCTGAGGCTTAAACTGAAACACACCTTTAGTGACACATCCCTGAAGATTGAAAGAGACAAGATGGTCCTTGTCCACCCGCCACCTCCCTGGAATATCAGCTTCATGAAGGCCAAGGATCTTGTCTGTTCTGTTTGCCACTAAATCCCCAGGCCCAGTATCGGGTCTTCCCCGAGGGTCCTCACAGACCTTACAGATAAATGATAACAATGTATTGGGGCAAAACACGGACTGAAGGGGAAATGTAGGGAGCTCTTGGCAAGGAAGCCTAAACTGACAAGGAAGTGGACTTAGAGAATGGCACGGAGAACCTCCTGGAGGAAGTTGCAGCTGAGACCTGCTGACAAGTGGCAGTTAGCCAGGTGAGGGTTCCAGGAGAGGGACCGGCATGTACGAAAGCCCAGAGGCTGGAAGGAGCAAATTATTCTGAAGGATTTCCATGTGGCTAGAGCAGAGCATTAGGAGGGGCGAAGGGGTAGTTGGTGCAAGGTTGCAGGGCAGGAGGGGCTGGCGTGGGTAAGAGGCTGGGAATTATATTGCACCCTAAGAGCAGTGAAAGAGCCCAGTGGCGAGTATGGCTGCAATATAGAACCTGGCATGTAAAGGTAAGGTGAAGGGAAGGAGGGGAGGGAGAGACAGGGAGGAAGAGGGAGGAACGAGGAGGAACCGAGGCCCGGTCACCGTTTTCAACCATAGGGTGGCTTCCACATGGTGCCCCAGAGCTAGGAATTTGCAAGAGTCAAGCAGAGGCCAGGTGCCTTTATGAGTTAGCTTTGGAAGCCAAACGTGTCATCTCTGCCATACTCTGGGTCACAAAGATCACCCTGATTCACTATGGGAGTGGACTGCACAGCGCCCCGGCTCCTCCCTCTCTCTGGGCTTCTGAACCATCACAAGGGCATGAATACTAGCAGGTGAGCATTCGAAGCCATCTTGGAGGCTGGCTAAAATCAAAAGAGCATTTTGCAGAGCTTCAAAAGGGATCCCTGGGCCATCAGGTGACATGTTGGGTAAGGTGCTGAATTGCCCATCTTCAGGAGAGAGAGAGGCTGGGCAGAGCCCCAGGGGGAGGTCTTACGGAGAGCTGGTACTGTTTTATTTCTTGATTAGGATGCTAGCGATAGGAATGAGTTTACTTAGGGCACAACCACTGAGGGTGATACATGTACTTTTTGTGTGTATACGAAGCTTCAGTACAAAATATGTAAAGGTCCTCATCTTTGAAAAGTTTTGAAGCCATTTGTGTACTTTGTTTTTTCGTCTTATAGGAGAGAAAACACTGAACCTCTAAAAGAAATGATGACTTGCTCGAGGTTGTGGGGATCACAGTGGAGTCTTGGACTGGCATTCAGATCTCCTGGATCATAGGGAATGGCTCCTGGCAGTTACGTGGACCCACGGCATCACAAGAGGTTGATGGCATCAGAGGTGGGGGGCTGGGAGGCTCCACTTCTGGTACTTGGGTGGTAGCCTGTCCTACTGAAGAGCAATCCCAGCTCCCCTGGTTGCTCCAGAACGGAAGAGGCTGTGCTAGCTCTGCCAGGTCAGCCATTGTGTCTCCAGCTCCCAAAACCCTCTCTGCTGACCAAATTTGAGGCCATCTCTGCCCACAGATGGCCTGGATGTTCACAGAAAGTGATTGTCTTGGGCGAGGGCAATGTCCGGACAGGCAAAGAGCAAGTGTTTGAGGCTGGGAGGGTTGCTCTTTGTCTGTAGACAAGGCTGTTAGGACATGCCTCTCAGATGAGGGTGTCCATCGCCTTTGACTGGACTTGGAGATCTCTCAGGGCAGGGGCCCAGCCTGATTCAGTTCTGTGTCTCTTGTATCCATTTATCCATCCAGCAACTATTTACTGGGCACCTGTTATAGCCACTGGAAACATGATCACGGATGGAAAAGACAAAATTCCTGCCCTCAGGAAGCTATGCTTTCATCAGTGTGGCCACGGTAGACAGTAGAGAGGCACAGAGGACTGTGAGTATTTGTGTGGAGAAGGCCTTATTGAGCAGATGGCATTTGAGCAAAGACTTGAAGGAGGTGAGAAGGTGGGCCTAACGTCATCGGCAGGAAGACCACTGCAGGCAGAGGGAACAGCATGCTGGAGGTGAGAACATGCTGGAGGTGATGTGCTAGGAATTGCAGGGCGTACAGGAAGGCTGGAGTGGGCAGGGCCGGGGGAGACAATATAGGGCGATGAATTTCCCCATGCCATCAGACCTGGGCTTGAACCTTGGTCCTGCTGGTCCCTAACTGGGTGACCAAGGGCTCTAAGTCACACAGGATACTCACAGGTCCTTCTGAGGCTTAAACTGAAACACACCTTTAGTGACACATCCCTGAAGATTGAAAGAGACAAGATGGTCCTTGTCCACCCGCCACCTCCCTGGAATATCAGCTTCATGAAGGCCAAGGATCTTGTCTGTTCTGTTTGCCACTAAATCCCCAGGCCCAGTATCGGGTCTTCCCCGAGGGTCCTCACAGACCTTACAGATAAATGATAACAATGTATTGGGGCAAAACACGGACTGAAGGGGAAATGTAGGGAGCTCTTGGCAAGGAAGCCTAAACTGACAAGGAAGTGGACTTAGAGAATGGCACGGAGAACCTCCTGGAGGAAGTTGCAGCTGAGACCTGCTGACAAGTGGCAGTTAGCCAGGTGAGGGTTCCAGGAGAGGGACCGGCATGTACGAAAGCCCAGAGGCTGGAAGGAGCAAATTATTCTGAAGGATTTCCATGTGGCTAGAGCAGAGCATTAGGAGGGGCGAAGGGGTAGTTGGTGCAAGGTTGCAGGGCAGGAGGGGCTGGCGTGGGTAAGAGGCTGGGAATTATATTGCACCCTAAGAGCAGTGAAAGAGCCCAGTGGCGAGTATGGCTGCAATATAGAACCTGGCATGTAAAGGTAAGGTGAAGGGAAGGAGGGGAGGGAGAGACAGGGAGGAAGAGGGAGGAACGAGGAGGAACCGAGGCCCGGTCACCGTTTTCAACAGCAGCCGTGGCTGGAGGTGCTCTGTAACCCTCTGACTCAGCAGGCCTCCCAGGTGTCCAGCCCCATGACCCCTTTGCCAGGCTGACCCACCAGAGGCCTCCCAGAGCCTGTCCTGCTCCGTCTCTTGGTGCTCACCCTGCAGGGTGGGATGGGGTGGGGCAGATGGCCCCAGGCTCTCAGCAGTGGACACGGTGTTCTGGTTCAGTGGAAGGACCTTAAACACGGAGACAAGGACACGGCAGTAAAGGATGATGTGGCCGAACCCCCCGGTTCTGCGGCGAGCAGACCCCAGGTGTGTGATCGGGAGCAGTTAAATTTCATCATTACCCTTTCTCCGATGGTGTTTTTTATAGTCTTTTTTACTACTGGCACTAAAGGTTCTGGACTCATCCTGGCGGAGTGGAGGACATCACTCGTCGGGTTGACTGCTCCGTGATATAAAAAAATGACAAGTCCTGGCTTAATCTTTCTGATAACTGTGTTCTGCGCCCCCATCCATCTCCACCGAGGGGTTTGGGCAAAGCTGGAAGACAAGAGCATCCCAGCATTTAAGAATGAAAAATTAAGTGCCCTTTGTAAGCAGTGTGGAGCTCTCCACTTGGCGCTGCTCTGGTGGTGGGGGCTGGTGGGGTACGGCAGGGGGAGGGAAGCCGAGCAAGTCAAGCGGAGTCTCCTTCACGAGGGGAGGAGTGGGAGAGGTGGACGAGGGTCCCGCACCGCGTCATGGGAGGATCAGCGAGAGCGTGTGTACTTGGCAGTGTGCGAATCTTACAGCCAACTGAGTGGGCCTTACCTGTGTCTGTGAGCGTCCGTGGCTGTGTTCTTCTGTGTGAGTGGTGGTATCTAGGACTATGTGTCTAACACGGGAGGGTAGAAGTGGCTCTGCACTGCACATCAAGATGCCTGGGTTCAATTCCCAGCTCCACCTTAACTACTGGACTTGTGGCACGCCCTTCCCTTCCCTGAGCCTCAGTTTCCTTTTCTGTACAATCAGTGAGTTGGGACCAGAGGAAGCCGAATTAGTCCAACTGAGTACTGACTCGCTGGCTGGCCCCATGGACACTGTCTTTCTACTGCTTACCTCAGTTTCTCCTTTTGTCCTCTGAGACCTTTGCTCTGGATGACCTCCAAGGCTATTGCAGGCCTGGGAAGTGAGGACGCCAGAGCTGGGGAGCCAGGAGGACTTCCAGCCCAATCTCACCCCCGGTCATGGCTGGCCTCCAGCTGTGGCTCAGACTTTCCTACTTTCTGTTCATCCCCACAAAAGGCTGACACAGGAGCGACTTTGGGAACGGGATGCAGAGGGCAAGAGCCCAGGTTTGAGCCATCAATTCCAAGTTTATTTGCCCTGATAAGTGACCTTCTGAGCCTTGGTTGCTGTACCCATAACATGGGAGCAGTAGAGGCGAGCAGCTCGGATAAGCTACACCTGATACATAAATGCTCTGTAAGTGTTGGCTCTTATCAGATGTCCCTGTGGGGACACTCCCTCCAAGGTTTTGTAACACAAGGAAGCCTAAACAGAATTCTCCTGTCTGCCACCACCTAATCCCATCTCCAGTGCCTCCATCTCCTCCTTGTGGAAATCCAGGGCGGGAACAAATGGCCGTCTGTCTGGCTTTTGACGTAAAATGCTAAAGAGAGAGGAAGGGGAAGCCAAGGTGGGAGACCTCGGCTTCCGGAGGACTAGTTTGTCCCCAAAGGAGCCAAACATTTGTTGTTAATAATCGTGAGAGAGAACAAAACCAAACTCAGACCCGTGAAAAGCACCCCCCCAGGCCTGGCGGATGCAGTTCCTACACAATCCATTTATCACCAGCACCTGTGGTTTGGAGAACAGGCTGCCCGCTGACAGGGCCTCGGTTATCTGCTCGGCCGTGCTTATCTGGGCGGCTTCTGTAGGCGAAGGTCCCCACTGGTGTGTGTGTTTTATGGACTCAGCCCCTCCTTCCCCACTGGGCAGGGTCAGTGGGCAATAAAGATTCCCTGTGGGAGGCTAGCTGGTGGCGCGGTGGCTACGGCGACTGGATCCCACATGGCTGATTGAATTTGTATCCTGGATCCAGTGATTTGAGGGACACACCAGGCCCATGTGCATGTGTACCCAAAACCCAGAGAGGAAAATGGAGAAGGGGTTACAATGTAGCCATCCCCCTGAATGGTGCTTTCTCATTCTCTCTCTCTCTCTCTCTCTCTCTCTCTCTCTCACTGTCTCCAGGGAGTGCATGCACCCTACAGCAAAAAAAAAAAAAGTCTCTTGTGGAGCTGGGAAGACTTGTGGACATTTGCGGCTGTGCAAACTTGTCCCAGAGATTTGGTGTCACCCTTTGGCAATGAGTGTCACTCCTGGAGCCCTCGTCAGTGACCTTATTCACCCTGTGGACAGAAATATCCATCCCCTGTTAGACACCGAGGCCTGGACAGGTGTGCTCCTGCGCAAGGCATCCAGCCGTTCTGCCAATAGGTGGCAGAGCCAGGATTTGAGCTCTACACTGCTCAGTGCCAAAATCGCTGGCCTCCGGAACAAAGCTTATGACCATGGCGGAGTGGACCCCAACCCTTTGCAAAGGAGATTCTTTCTCTCCATTGATCCCACAGCAGACTAGGAGTTGGAGTACTTGAACTTTAGCCTCTTCCCCATTTTACAGATGAAAAAACAGGCTCAGAGAGACATAGCCCCTTGGCCACAGTCACCCAAGTTGGAGCATAGTAGGGGCCTTGCATTCAGTCCCCAGGACCCCAGTAGCCCTGCTGCTCTCCATCCCCAAGGCCCAAACAAGGAGGACTCTCCTCTTCTGACTCACTGCCAAGGCAATTACTGTCCACACTTCTCATGGGGCCCTCACTCATTTACTGCCCTTGCAAAGAGCCTCTGGCCAAATGCAATGAAGTCCTGACGTGGACGGACCAGACCTTGGGTTTCTGGTATTTGAACACGTGGTCCACCTTCCCTGCTGACTGGAAGGGACCAGAGGGCAGGAACCAGGTGACTGGAGATTTCTGTGTCTTCCCTGCACTGCCAACGCGCTGAAGATGTGTGTTGAGCCCATGTATAGACTTGGACCTGACGCTTGGAGCACTGGCCAGAAAGGAGCCATGGGGGATAGGGACAACAGGAGGTGGCTTCTCACACTACATAGGACCAAAGTTAAGCCTGGGGTCTGCCCCAGCCCCATCCATCAGCTCTGCTCATGCCTTGATGTCTTGTATGTTGGTGACAGGTACCAATGCCACTGATGCGGCCAAGTCAGATATCTGACTCCTTCCATCCGAGGGTGCGTGCTCTCACTGGAGAGAGGGAATGGGAGGACGCCCCCTTCAACAGGGCAGAAAGCACCGCCCCCCTAGGCAGAGTCAGAGGGCAGCTTCAAGATGGCAAGGAGGTGGGCAATAAAGATCTCTTTGGGGGGTACTACTGGTGGCATGGTCATGCCACAATCCCTTCTCCTTCATTTCTCCATCGCATCAGAATTTTAGGCCTGCACATGTACGTGGTGTATTTTCCAAGCTGCTGGGGCTGAACTGTGATCAGCCATGTAGGATAGGGCTCCCTTAACCACTAGGCAATGGGGCCAGCCCATCTCCCCCCTTTTCTTTCATTTCTCCCATAAAAGAGAGAGAGCACTGCCAGTAGGGAGCTGATACCCTGATCCATCCTCAGTGTCTGCCAGCCCTGGTCATGGGCAAGCATGTATCTGGTATACCTAGAGAGGTCTTCAGCCTTGAACCGGGAACTTCGCAGGCTGGCATTGCTTTGCAAAGTGTTGCCATTATTTGGCCCCCTGACTGTCCCCTTGGCCCCTCCTACCCTCTTACCCTACTGGCCAGTCATTGCCACGTCCTGTCAATCCTACATCTTAAATATTTCTTTGAGATCGGACTGCCAGGATTGCCATCCTGGGCTTCTGCAACAACCTTCTACCTGGCCTCCCTACCTCCATCTACTCTCTAGTTGCAATCAGAGTGATTTTTTTAAAAAAGAGATTTTTGCTATAGGGAGCTTGTGCTTGCTGGAGAGACAGAGAGAGACAGAAAGCGAGAAATCAACGCCTAGGGGTGGGGAGGGATGGCCACACCTTCTCCATCCTCCTCTCAGGATTTTGAGCATACACACACATGTGCCCAGCATGTTTCAAATCGCCGGGTCCGGGACTTGAACTGCAGTCAACCCTGGGAGCCCGTAACCATTACACCATCTACTGGTCCCAACAATCAGAGTGATTTTAAAGTGCAAACTTGAGCTTGTTCCTACTTTCTTAAGCCTCCCTGGGCCTCCCAAGGCCTTTGAGATAAAGTGTGAATGTCTTAAACTCCCGTAAGACCTGGGGCCCTTCCCAGCCTTAGCCCTACATTCCTGGGCTCTCTACAGTGGCCCCCTCACTCTACCCTGGGCCTTTGCACATGCTGTTATGTCAGGGACACTCTTCTCTGCCCTGGCTCCTTTCACGGGCCTGCTCCTTCTTATCCTCCAGGTCTCAGCTTACTGTCACTTCCTCCAGGAAGACTTCCCTGACCCCTGGTGCGCGTGCTCACTCTTCCAGGCACGCTTCTGCACACACACTGGGAGTAGCTTGTAACCTTGCCTTCTGCCTGCCTTTTCCGTTAGGCTCTCACTGGGTTCCTTGTCCTGAAGCTGGTTCTCAGGGCATGGTTGTGAAGGGATAAGAGCCCGACCACATCCCCTCTTACTGGTTTTCTTTATCCCCCTCAAGCAGGGAGTCTGGGTGATGGGAGCAGAGCTCATGGAGCCCTATCCCTGGCCTGGTTCCCTGGGCTGTTTCTAATGATCTCCTTCTCCATCCAGTCCTAGGGCCTGTGGGGATCCTGCCTATGCCTACCACCCTCCTACTATCACAAAGCAGCCCATTCCCCAGAGAGGGAAGGTGAGGACAAGGCTCCAAATAAGGCTGCCTCTATGGGGAGCCACCCACATGCAAGATCTGGTGGAATCGGGTGTAGATATCTGGTTTGGAGTCCTGGAGACCTCCCGGGGCTCCAGATCCCTGCTTCCTGCCCTGGTCTCACCTCTGCATTGCCCTCCATGGCAGCTGCCCAGGCCCAGGCCCTCCCTCTCCTCTCTGCCTGTTGGGCCCTGGCAGAGGGCGTGAGACCGTGCATCCTCGTGCACATCCAGCTGTTCCTCGCCACAGCTGGCTGCCTCGGCCATGCAACTCTGCCCCCACCGTCCCTACTCCCCCACATGCCCCAGATTGGAAGGAGGTGAACAGAACTGGAAGACTTTCACGTGGGGGCCAGGACCTACTTGCT